AAAATTTTTTTCTTTGTTTATTAGCATAGTTTAAAATTATGTTTCTAATTTAAAATTAATGGATTTTAGTTTTATTTAAGAAATTTTATCTGTGAAACAATGTTACATTTTATTTTACTCTGTTACAGTATGATTTCCAAGCACGGTATATGACTTTAAACATCTTAGAATATATAATATGTATAGTATAGGTACGAATTAAAACACTTTATTATATTAACTGGAAGTTATCTATTGCTTATGAATTGGTAAGAGGCATTTTACATATTATTATGTTAATTAATTTATCACTGCTAAAATTTTAAACTAAGTTTGTATCAAAGTCTATATATTATGGTACTAACTATTTTAATATACAGCATATCAAGGGAAAAAATCCATGGTTACAAAAATGAAATAGGTAACAACTATAGATGTCAATAAAAGTTCTATTGCGTCGTTCAATACTTGCTCACATTTGACAGATCCACAGATGAAAAATAAATGTAAAACATAATATTGTACTTCAAAGGCACAAATAATTTAAGTACATAACTACAAGCAAACCTTACAGTAAAATATAAGCCACCAATAATATTAAAATAACACAATCCATAGATAATACTAGACGCGCTAGTGACTTCTATTGCGTTGTACGACGCCTATACGATCCCATAACATATTATATTAAGTAAATGTTTAAAGGTTAACCTTTCATTCCACAATATTATAATATATGTAGCAATTTATAATTGCTTTACAATTTTCAATACACACATGATATTTTAAAGTATATATGGTAATGCTTATGATATAAATATTTTATATATATTTTTTACACTATTAACTCACTGTATACCCAAAACCGTTATTTTAGCCCGTTGCGATAATTTTTGGCACGCTACTAAGCGCGTAGCTCTAAAAAAATTTATTAAAAATATCTTAACAATAACTATATACATAGGAACGACTGTTTGCTGTGGATTTCAATATGCACTTACATATTTACATTTGTGTAGGCTGTCTATTGTTTCACTATGAGTACGTTTTACGTGTGATCAAGTAGACAAAAAAACAATAGAAAATATAATTACTACTTAACAACATGAACAGAAACTACTCGTTTAATGGTGGCTTAATAGATGTTATCGAAGGAGGTATTGTTTAAGTCGACTAAATGCAAGTTTCAACGCCATAATAATATTTGTTCATTTAATCTTATCTTATGATTTGGATAGACTATTCTGAAACCATAGTTTGAATTGGTTTGAACCAGGTTTTGTAATAAGATAACAGATTATAACATAATACAAAACAGCTTATAACGTCCACTGCTGTACATGGGTCCCATAGATTTGGATACATTGTGACATTGTTGCCTCATTTATATGGCTTATAATTTTTTTTACGTTTACAATAATATGACCAGAAAGTCAAAAGTGATTATATATATATATATATATATATATATATATATATATATATATATATATATATATATATATATATATATATTGTTTTGACTAATTATTACATTGTAACCAACCGTGTAGTGGCGGTGTAAGAATATCCACCACGCCATATCGTGCCTGGGTGTCGTAAGAGGCGACCGAGCGAAACAAACTACAAGATGGGCAGCAGTTTAGGACGTCTGCCTAAAAACTAAAAAACAAACTGCGGTTGTCAAACTCCTGCCAAGTGGCAACTATGGAGAAAATCCACGCCATGAAGCAATCTAAGGGGGAAGCATATGTTAAGCAGTAGACTTTCGATACGCGGTAACGGTATAACTTTGTAACTTTTTTGGAAAATGCAAAACATACTAATTTTGCCCACTGGGTTTCTCTGACACCATGCTAACTTTCCCGTTATTATTCCCAAATTTAAATGTTTTATTGTGTACTTGATCTTGAAACCTTCACGTATTTTAAAGTTAGTGTTTTCTAAAACAAACACATTTTCTTATGAACAATATGTTTATGTAATAATAGGTTTATGTTCCTTTAGGTAACTCAAATGTTTTCACTTGTGTTTAAAAATGCACTAAATTTAAATAACATTTTCACTTATGTTATCTAGTAGTAAGATAAGTGGTTAAAATGTGTAAATTGGGCAAGATTAATTTTTTACTAAATTTTTTGCCTGTTAGTTTAATTTCGTAAAATGTATTCTCGGGTGTCTTAAAACTTAGTGAACAGTTTTCAAGTAGTCGATTACGAGTTGAAGTTATAAATAATACAGTCATGTACATATTTATTATAATATTATATAACTTTGTAAATAAATCCCTGGACCTGCTGATCCATACGTTATGAGTAAATCAGTGTTCACACAAGTAATATACGTGTCACGGGTAAAAACCGAAGTGCAGGCACACCTAGGTTTAGTATATGATATCATTTGATTCATTCTACTAAACAAGGTATAGTAAAGTACGAATAAAAATTAAAATGATTATGACTTTTATCAACTTTGTCGAAAAAACTAGGATTTCTGTTACGTTAGCGTAAAATAAGGTTAAAGTTGGGCTGGGGTAGACGTTACATGATATACACTTTTCTATATTTTAAGGTATTACTCGACATGGTTGACATGGAGAAGTTAACCAAACAAAAATAATATTTTTTATTAACTGCCTTTACGGCTCTGGGTTCTAGCCCTTCTGAGCCAATCATTTCTATCAGAATCTTCATTTTTATATTTTTCCTTCACAATATGCTGATGCGTCACGTATTAAGCCCTTGGGAGATTTTGATGACAGCGCAACCCAGCGGACAGTTGATGACGACAGCCACTCAAGTTCATAAGGCGCCCAAGCGATTAAAATAACTTGAGGTTTATATCGACATCAAAGCACTTGTTTCGTCGTTTTCTCTAATATTCACACGCACGGCACTTATCACTCGCAACGTTTACGAATCAAAATCCACTTCAAACCATTATTCAAGGGACAAAACAGGAGCGACAATCCGTCAACGGCCAAGTTCGCGCCAAAACTCACAAAAATAATACTCTATTTGTGTGTTTATTGGTGCTTATGTGGGTATTTTAATAAACTTGGATTAACGAATAGGAAATGTAGGTAGGAAAAATACATTTTTATTAAAATTTTTGGCTTGGATGCTTGTTATTTAAGCCATGTCTTCATTTAATACGAAATCTTTGTTTCTATAGATTTTCTACACAATATGCTGATGCGTCATATTGCGAAGCCTTTTTGAGATTTTAACGACAGCTCAACCCAGCGGACAGTCGATGACGACAGTCATAAGGCGCCTGGGCGATCAAAATAACTTAAGGTTTCAATTAATATTAAAGCACCTTTTGCGTCGCTTTCTCTAATAGCTCACATGCGCATACAATACACAAAATCGCATCATTTTACGTATCAAAATTCACTTGAAACCATTATTTAAACGATAAAATAGGAGTAATAATTCGTCGATGGTCAAGACCCCGCCAAAACGCTGGAAAAATACATATTTTTTTGCGTTATTTAGAAAGCTAATAAAGGGAGAGGGACCACGAGACTTATTGTCTATGGGCCAGATTTAAAGCAACCCAAATATTAATGAAAAATATAAATAATATAATGAATTGCTAATGTCTTAATAATAATTTTGTCTTTTATTCACCTTAAAAGGAAACATTTATGGGTTTAAAATTTTAAAGCGCACTTACGTAAGTAAATACATTTTTAGTATTTTGTTCAATTTCAACAGATATTCCAGGTGATGTATTATGTAAGAATGTCGTTACCTGTTAATCACCAAAATTAAGTACGGAATGCTGTACTGTAATAAAGTGGCTATAACATTGTTGTCAATAAATTTGGAGATTAGGAGTGCAGCTGATTTAAATGATCTAGGTGATCTAAGTTTTCTAAGTGGTCCAAGCCTGATTTTCCAGGTGTTTCGAGGTTTAAGGTTCTAGGCATTTGCGATTTGAACTGGAAATAGTTAATTTGTGGTAAATAAACTAGAATTCGTTACCTAATGTGTGTCTGTGATTTTATTGCAATCAAGTGGTCTAGGAATATTTGAAGTTTGTTTGGGTGTCTATCTACTTTAGGTCTAGTTTTACAGTTAATTCTAATTTAATAAACGAATGATATAAGTGTAGTGTTAGATATTCGGGTGTCATGCAACGAATATCCGGCTGTTCATTTATTACTGGTGTTTATATTCGGGCGTACGATCGCTGTCCTAAGTACAGGTCTTGAATATTTTAAAATTATAGCTGTTAATGTCCAGGTGTTCACAATATCCAGGTGTAATTTTGGATTTTAGACGGTTACATTATTGGGGTATAGATGATGTGCATTATGTGTTCCAAGTAATATTTAAAAAAGTGTTTAGACATCGTAAATTAATAGTTCGGGTGTCGTGCTATAAGTTCAGGTAGCGGTATGCCGATTGTATGCTGCTTGTTAAAGTCTCGCTAGGTTACTTGCTGATTTTTCCCAGGACCGAGAGTTTTCTGAACCATTGGTAAAAGTAATAATAAAATATTTTTAATAAGAATCATTTGTAATCTATAATGAATGAAAATTACTCCAGGTAGAAGTCATTGTTTAAGTGCGCTGTCGTTTCCGAATAAAGAGACTAACTGATATCTCTTAGCATATATCTCAGATGTCATTATGCAGCCATTGTAAAATAGATGCTCCAGATGTAGTCACTTGTTCCGGGTGTAGTCACTTGTTCCGGGTGTAGTCACTTGTTCCAGGTTTAATTACTTGTTCCAGGTGTAGCCGCTTGTTTCAGGTGTTGGTTTTGTCGGTAGTTAGGTAGACACTATGTGAAATCACCGGTATCACTGAGGTGTTGCGTTGCAGGTACTGTCTAAGTGTCCAGGTGTGCTTACAGCAGCTTGCCCTTCAGTAGTTAGGTAGACACTGCGTAATGTGACTGGTATAGGTCAGCAGGTGTTGCGCAGTGACAATGTTCAGGTGTTGTGACCTGTTTTAGTTGTTTGCTAGGTCAGTAGCTAGTAGACGCTGTATGATGTGACCGCTCCGGCTACAGCAGCGCGCGGTCCACGCTGGCGTACTCGCGGCCGGAGCGCGGGCGCGCGGCGTGGCGGCCCGCCTCGCACGAGCTCAGCGACGACACGGACAGCGACTCCATGTAGTCCGACGTGTCCGAGCCGCCACTCGACGTGCTCTTGTTGGTCAGCTGGCTGTGTCGCGCTGTGCTGCTATCGCCCTCCAGCTCACCTGCACACACACACATTTACCATTGAATAATAATTTGAAAAAAGCAATAAGTATTTATACAACTTTATTCGTGGTAGAACCACGCTGCAGCTATATTGTGGTTGCAGCACGGATGAATCAGCTCGACTTTCACAGAATAGCAGCGTAAAATAGCAGCTTAATGCTGCTGTATTTCGTATGGTGAGTGTACAGAAACGGAGACCCCTTCAACTGGAAACGAGGCATTCCATCTCAGTAGTTAGGGCTGGCAACGCGTCTGCATTTTGATTTTTAATTGGAGATAAATGTAGATGTCCATGGGCCACAGCTTCCACTTACCATTAGATAGACTGTACGCTCGTTTGTCACCCTTATTCTATATAAAAAAAAATCAATCATAAACGCTAATACAAAACACTAAAACTAAATGATTATACGGTATCTCAACTATAAATCACGTCACGTTTATCGTTGATTTTATAGTTTATAGAAAACGAACTTACTTTGCTAATATCCATTATGCTAAAATAAAATAACTAAAATTTACTTGAGAATTAAAATGGTGTATCCCACATCTGCGTTCGTAAAATAACCAATAATAAAATAACCATATTACGAAAGAAAAAAACTACACCATGCACATACGTCACGTATTTCGACTTTTAACGGCGTATCATCACATAAAAAATAAACTCTATGATAACTAAGAGCTTGTAATGAGCCGTGGTAGCTCAGATGGTTAGCGCTCGCTGTAAATTTCACAATACGCGAGCAAACCGGGTTCGATCCCCGCCGGCACCAATGAAATTGTTAATTGCAATTTTAAGTGCTGATTTACCACGTGCTCGGCGGTGAAGGAAAACATCGTGAGGAAACTGCATGTCTGAGAAATAAGAAAAAAATATTTCAAAGACATGTGAAGTTCGCCAACACGCAGTGGGGCAGCGCGGCGGACTATTCCTTGACCTAAAACCCTCCCAGAAATGAGAGGAGGCCTGTGCCTAGCAGTGGGATGTATATAGGCTGTAACAAAAAAAATTTTTTTTTTATTAAAACCGGGCTTTTCACAACACCCCTCCCCTGTAAAAAAAAAACCCCCGCACCCCCTTTATTTTTTTTCTTCGGAAAAAATTATTTTTTGTATTTTATTAAAAATAAAAGTTTACTTTACTTTTCTAACTAAGAGCTAAATTAGCGGCCAGCTAACCCAGATATATAATAATAATAATAATGTCCTCCAGACCGAACTTCGGCCACGGCGGCCTGCCTCAACGGAGACTAGCCATCGGCGCAGCACAGGATTATAGTGCCCAAGTGTATGCGCAAGCACAGGTGCACTCTCTATTCCCTTACTCTCATAATCCGATGGGACGATAACCCGACACCACCGGAGAGAGATCAGGCGCAGGACCAACGGCTTTACGTGCTAAACTAGGTAAGACAGACCTTTTTATTTTTCATACAAATTTCAACTCATTAATTCTGTACATCTTTGAATCAACCGCCTTAATATTAGCGTAGCCCATGATTTTCTTTTTTTAAAAAGATTTTAAAACAAGGAAGAGTGTACAATGCTGTAACACACGTAAACGTATTTACAAGTCTTTTTTTAATAAAACTGAAGTGAAAAAACGAACTTACTTACAGCCCACCTGAAAGTAAGTGGCTACCTAAAGGCTACAGATGCATTGTTAGCTCTTAAGTACTAAGATGGAATGCTTCACAGCCTATTATACTGGCTAACTATATCCTTGGGACCGGAACAAATATATGGAAACACTATTAGACAGCAGAAATAGGTAAGAGGTAGGTACCCAACTAGACGGACCCCAAGTCAGAAAAAGAGTCTTTTCATCTAATTGAAGAGAGTTAGAGTTACAGCCTATATACGTCCCACTGCTGGGCACAGACCTCCGTCTGAGAGGGTTTAAGGTCAGGAATTGTCCGCCGCGCTGCACCAATGCGTGATGGCGAACTTCACGTGTATTCAAAAAAATTTTTTTTCTTATTACTCAGACATGCAGGTTTCCTCACACTGTTTTCCTTCACGGCCGAGCACGTGGTAAATCAGCATTTAAAATTGTAATTAACCATTTCATTGGTGCCGGCGGGGATCGAACCCGGTTTACTCGCTTACTATGAAATTTACAGTGAGTGCTAACCATCTGAGCTATCACGGCACCTAATTAAAGATTGAGAAACATGGAAATTCATCGGACATGGAAATTTAAGAAAATTTAAGAAATTTAAGAAGTTTTCTTTCGCCACCTTTATAAATCGCAATTAAAAATAACCAGTGTTTGATGCAATCCATTACCAATCGAATTGTATCTCCGACGTTATCAGTCTGATTATTTCTCGTCTGGTGTGAATGAGACGGTTCATATCACCTTCGAAAGCCATCAGAGTTTTCTGGGGTTTATCATAGTTGCTACTTGCAGCACACATAGGACGAATAAATGTGGTGATTGATTCTCTATCGCTACCATCCGTTAAGATTACCGTTACAGCCTATAGTAAACATAGGTCTCGCATAGAGAAATATTTGCCATAGTTGCCACGTTTGGCAGGTGGGTTGGCAAACGTAGATTTCTATTTTTAGTTTTATTTAAAAAGTAGAATTTTTTTATAGGAAGGTGAAAAACGAGCACACAGTCCACCTGATGGTAAGTGGTTGCTGCGGTCCATAGACATCTACATCTATCCTCGATTACGATTCAAAATACAGATGCGTTGTTACCCGTGAGAACATGCCTCGTTTCCAGTAAAAACGGTCTCCGGTTCTCTACACTCACCAAACGAAACACAGCAGCTTTAAGCTACTATTTTACGCTGGTATTCTGTAAGAGCGTGGTCCTTCCCCGGTCGAGCCGACCCATTCATGCTACAACTATACTACTAATATAATTGCAGCTTGGCTCCACCACGTATAAAGGATGATATATGTAAGAATATGAAAACAAGAAGATTTTTTAATAATGATGTTATAACTCACCGCATTTTTTCTTCCGTCGCGTCAGAGTGTCCACGTCAAATGAATTGGACTTAGCCAACGTGGCGACTTCCTCGAACTGAAATGTCAAGTGCTTCAGGGGGTCCGAGGAGTTGGATCTTATGAACGGCGTGTGCACCGGCGTGAGGGTACTCCTGAATTGCTTATTGCTTTTGAGATGTTTCTTGTAGGACTTGGAGTTTGTAATGGCGTTCTCCAACTCGTTGAAGTCCCCTTTGTGGTGCTTCAAGGACCCAGTCGAGACACCGGAGTCGTTAGAGCTGGACGAATCTCTGTTTTTGTCGGACTTGCTGGGGACGCTCGAGGATCTTCTGATTTTTACGGCGTCTCTGAACCGTGCGACGAGAATATTTTCGCTTTTTGGTTCAGGGGTCTTGAAGACTTTTTCCTTCTCTGATTCCTTTTGGGTGACTAGGGGTATACCTTCGTTGATGCGTTCAGTTTTGTTCGACTTCCTGAGAACTGTGGGAGTGAAGCAAATACGCGCGTTGATGCCGTAGTCTTCGTCCTGCCGCTTGGTGAAGTCCGCGGAACTGGACCTCCTCGTGCTAATGGTGTTGTCTGTGTCGGAATGCTGTGTCGGATCTGACACGTGGCTGATCCTGCTAATGTTGTCGGAGAAGTTCCTGTTGGTGCTGGAACTACTATCGAGGGGCTCCATGTGCATGTAGCTGGAGTGATCGTTGCAGCAGTTGTTGTGATGAACGGCCGTGTTGGCTGTAGCCGTGGAGATGTCGTCGTCGTGCTCCGGGATGTCCTCCAGCGCGTCCAACTCCTCCTGGCTGAACCCGGCGCTCCTGAGGATCTGCAGCGAACTCTCGAACTTCTCCAGTGTAGCATTAAGGTCTATATTCGCGTAATTCCCGCAGTCTACAGCTGGCTCGGCTTTGACTGGAGCGACGTTGACGTAGTTGGACTGGGTGTCGACTGTTTCCTCGTTAAGGCTAGTATCACATGTTCTCTCTGTGTCTATGGTTTGTCTGTTCTCTTCGGTTTTGTTTTCGTTCTTGTGCGAACAGTTGCAGGCGCTGCCGTTCATTAGACATTTCAATTTCTTTGGTGTATCGTACAGGCTGGCAGGGTCTGAATGTACATCTACTGGATGTTCCTGAAAAGAGACAACTATATATACAAAGTACTCTCTCGTTCGTATCTGAGAGGGTTTTGGGGCAGGGGAAAGTATTTTTTTATAAGATGGGGTGACAAACGAGCACGCAGTCCACTTGATGGTTGTGCCCATAGACATCTACATCTATCCTCGATTACAAATCGAAATGCAGATGCGTTGTCATCCGTGAGGACTAAGATTGAATGCCTCGTTTCCAGTATAGAGAGTCTCCGGTTCTCTACACTCACCATACGAAACACAGCAGCATTAAGCTACTATTTTACGCTGGTATTCTGTGAGAGCGTGGTCCTTCCCCGGTCGAGCCGACCCATTCGTGCTACAACTATACTACAAATATAGCTGCAACATGGCTCTACCACGTAAAAAAGGAGTAATTTATAAAAATCAAAATAAATACTTTAAGTAATACGTATAATATTTTTATTTATATTTACTTTAAGGCACTAATATTATATATACAAAACATTACAAAATCCTGTTAAAATTTGTCGGCAGCTGTTCTCTTGTTGTCTACGGTTTAAGTTTAATAATATAAAATAATTTTTATTTGATTTGAGAGACACGTGGCCGGAGAGGTTTTCCTTTTGAATGTCTTTACTGAGATTATTGAATATTTTCGGTAAAATAAAATTGCATTTCCTGATAACGTACACGGTATTATAGTTTGGCAAATTGAAAATATTTAGTTTAGCTAGTTTCTCAGTTTTCTTTAACGTTTTTTTTATAAAGCAGTATTTTGTAATTGTGTTCGTCTTTTAAAATCGACAGTTTAATGTTATTTTTCAGTGTTAACACTTTGAAAATTGCACGTAAAGTCAACTATATTATAAGATTTAACTGCCTTGTTGTTGTATACAAGCTTCTTGTTATTTCTGAGTGTTACATAGTTTATATATGTACTAAATATATGTAGTATAATTCCACACGATTGCAATTGATATTACTTACACCTTACACATTGGGCATTCCTATGCTCTGTCAAAAAAAAAATCTAAAACCACTCACCTGAATTAAAGGCATCGGTGTCTTTGGCACGTCGTAATTCTCGTAGGGTCCGTTAAACTGCTTCTTCCTACAGCTGCACGTCTTCGGTTGCTGCCAACACTGGCAGGTGTTGCCAGTTTTCACTGGCACGGTTGGCGTGCAGCACGCAACAGGGCTGCCGCGCTTCGATTCAAAGCTCTTGTCCAAAAGGCACGCGCCCCTCGGCACCGAATACTCGGACGCGCTGCCACTCGATCGAGAATAAATCGACGCTCTATCGGAATCGGATCGTTTCTCCATTATGTTCTCCATTGTCCAAACCGGGGACATTATTGATCCGGGCGTGCCCATTGTTGATGATCTGAAATTTCAGATAGTTTTAGAATGTTGAAAATAATAATTTTAATGAAATCCACAGGTACTTTCGATTTCTACTTAGGTACTAGGTACTATCGAAAATTTCATAAAATAGGAGATGAGCCGGATCATGGTTCTAATACAGTTCTCACCGGATAGCCAGCGCATAATTTTGCCGGGTAGCCGGACACCCCATAAAATTAGGTTCATTTGGAGGCTACAAACCGTGCGTTCTGATCGCAAAGCTAGTTTTCCTTCACCTCAATTTTCCCCTAATGTACTTTGGATAAGATAGTTAATCTTCATCAATCATCAAAGTTGAATTTATACTAAGTTAACTAAAGGCAAGATGGTTATAATTGTGTAGCAAAACTTAAAATATTGTTGTTTTAGGTTATCGTTTTTTTCTTCGTATTTAGTAAATATTGTATTACTTAGAACTCTATTAAATAAATAACTTTTTCTTTTTCATATTTTTTTCATTTAATTACTTTATCATATTATATATTATTGATTTCTTATATATAAACGCTACACATTAAATGAAACTAATTTTTGTAGATTTTATCGCCTTTAATTTAACTTTTTAATTCCCGAGATTTCGGGTGCTTTATAGCACCCATGGTCACGGGAGGGGGGGGGGACGTCCCGATATCATACTAAGCCCGGCTACCTTCAGTTTTTGACATTAATCTTTGGTTCGATCCACGCAGAATGAGCTTAGAGTATCTTAAAGTCTTGCAGTGGTATGCTTGGGTTCGGATTTAATTTTATTACTTATAGGATCCCGAGCAGGTGGTAGCACCACAGATTAGTAAATAGTTTACGTAGCACCCAGCCATCTCCTCTATTGAAATTAGGATGTTTTTTTAATTTCTATAGCCTTCTATTCTATTCTAGGTAGGAATCGGCGTTCTTTTGCGAGGTTATTTTTAGTCTATCAAATCTAATGTAATGGCGGGGTCGATCTTGAACATGTTCACAAACTGCAGATTTCCCGAGCTACTTTTTTACACCCCCTCTATTTATTTATTCTCTACGCGAAGGTTGTCCCTAAATGATCACTTTAAGAGTAATAACACCGCCTGTTATACATATTTTAGATTTAACTTTACTCGTTATTCTGTACTTTGGTGTACAGTAAAGAATAAACAAATAAATATATCAATATTACAATAATTTCGGCATTGCCGAGTACCAGACGCCATTATCCGGTACTTAGCCGGATTAAAAAGTACCGGATCTGCTGGGTACCGAATTTAAAACGGGTACCCACCTCATCTTTAGATGATATAGACATACAGGACATGGGTCGCCCCCATTGCCCCTCGTCGACTCTTACAACACCCACGGGACGATGAGGACGATGAGCTTACGCCACCACCATTTACATACACATATATGTTTTAAAAATAAAGTGAATGAATAAATAAGTTAGTTGCAGGCATGGCTGCAGTAACCTCTTACCACCAGGACGATAGTAAGTACGTTCGTCACTTAATTTTTATAAAATAATGAAATGTAATAATTCATAATAATTAAGAGGATAGAGTAAGTCAGCTCAAATTCTAATTTCGCCCCCACTTCCCCGCGCGTCGTATGCTATGTACCGATATGTTTGTAATCACTAATACTGTAAGTAGAAAGGTCGTTAGACACTTATTTTATTAGATTTAATCATATTTATGCCTGTTTCTTAACGCCAAGCCAGCCGCTTCTTATTTTTATCACGGTTATTTCCCATTTTAATTTTACGTCGTACTGTTGCGTAATGTATATTCTGATCGTAAGCGACACAACTACTCCCTTCAAAAAGCCTAACGGTGCGACAGGAATCAAGCTCAAGACGCCGATAGTTTAGGTAATTTCTTTTTACAGTGAAAATAATGGTATTTTAAAAAAAGTAAATAACATAAGCACTGTTTTATAGTTAGTTCAGTTAGTATGCAAAGTTTCATGATCTTATTTAAAGTATTTTATGAATAACAGCGGTTTATTGTTTATTTTGGAGGTAACTTTGGATTTTTTTTTCTATCGAGAAAATTTTATGAAATCGTGTTTTCGTCTAACATAATCATTAACATTAATCCTCAACTTTACCATATATTTATTTCAAAATTAATGCTGCAATATTTTCGGCATAACGAAGGATCTTGCTAAGCCATTTGACATTATATTTCCCCTTAATAATGCTCTCCAGATCGAATTTCGGTAACGGCGGCCTGTCTTAACCGAGACTAGTTAACTGCGCAGGATAGGATTATAGTGCACGAGTGTATGTGCAAGCACATGTGCTCCCTGTATTCCCATATATAGTTAGTTCGGCTGACCAAAGATAGGTAGATAGATAGTATAATGGTGATAAGATAGATAGGCACGGGTGTTGTGAAACACCGCCAATTTCATAACTCCGAGCTGCTTCTGAGAATTTCTTGTCAGAGAACCCAATAAGTTTTTTTAGACCAAAAGACGCGTTAACGACTAACAAGTCTGTCAAAAATTATTGTGATTTATTTGACTTTAGATAAAGGTGTAAGAGCAATTTAAAACTTACGTACCTAGTAAGCTGGCTCATCTTCCCCATGCAGCTGAAAGAGCAACGTGGTAACGAAGTTGGCCTGCGGAACTTCTCCTCTCCGTTGCTGTCGATGCTGGAGTCGAGGTCCGAGAGACAGTGCATGGTCTGACTGGTGGGGCCGTTCCACGCAGGCGACACGGACCGCATGGACGAGTGGAAGCAGTCGTCCGCACACGAGCTGGTGTCCGAGAACCGTTTCTCCAAAACTGGTGGAATAAGGTTCATTATGAGTTGGACGGCTTAAGTTATAAAGGTGATCTTAGAGCGGTTACAGACATTTCTCTTTGTTTATTTTTTAGTAACATATGGTTGAAAAATAACTATAACATATTTTGATATATAAATAAACAAAAAAATATATGTGTACATATTCGTATACGTAAATGTATATATACATACTAACGTCCACAAAAGTTAAAGCCTTTATCCGTCCCACTCCGGGGCACAGTCTCCCCCTCACTGCACCCTTTTTACTGGACTATCATGTTAGTCCTTGGTCGTTACGGTTTACCTGCATTTTAATTTTTAACAAAGGGCAGTCTTAATGGCCTTCTGGCATTATATCCCGGTAAACCCCGGGCGTGGTGAAATATACGAAATATAAATATGATGAAAAGAGCAATAATAATAATATGTAGGTGGTGAACTGTGTGCTCATTTATGTACTACCCATACTTAAAAATACAATAATCTTAAATTTGCGTAACAATGATCGTGCAATTACTATCAATTTTTTTATAGAATAAGGATGACAAACGAGCACACAGTCCACCTGACGGTAAGTGGATGCTGTGACCCATAGACATCTACATTTATCCTCGATTAAGAATCAAAACGCAGATGCTATGTCACCCCTGAGGACGAAGATGGAATTTACAGTAAATTTGAATAAATCAGCAGTCTTCCTAATAACGACTAAAAATAAAAAACTGCAGTTGCCAACCTGCTTGGCAAGCGCGCCAACTATGACGTATATCCCCCCATGAGGCAATCTATGGGGGAGGCCCGTGTTCAGCAGTGGACTTTGATAGGCTGCTATTTTACCACCGCTACTATTGATATATTCTTGAAGCAGTTATAGCATACAGCTATAGCGTGGGTTTACTGCGTAAAAATTTTAACATTACTGCCTGAATGATAACAGGATGTAGTCTCAATGAGATTCTTTTACCTGAACCACTCCTTGAAGCGATGCTGAGGCGGGACTGTGCCTCGTGACTGTAAGCGTTGAGGAGGTCGGTGAGCTCCCGCCCACCTTCCGTGGCGAACACGAACAGGCCCTCGCCTCGGCCGCACCTGGAGCCACCCTCCACACAGAATCGCTTGTCTACCACGCCGAAACGTCTGCAAAGGAGAGATCAGAGTAAGAATAAACAGTAGGAGTTCTTCGTTGATAAGATTAAAAAACCAGGGTATAAACTTATGTTTATATATGTGTTTATAATTTAAAGCACGGTCTTGAATCGAACACGGACTCTTTTCAAGTTACAGTTTTTTAGACAATCTATTGTCGACTAAGAATCAACATGTATATACGTTGTCATTCCTCGAGACTAAGATGGAATCTCTACACTCACCATACGATGATAATAATACAAAATATATGTTGCTGTATTTCGTTGTTGAGTATAGAGAACCGGAGATACTTTTCACTGGAAACGAGGCCTTCCATATTAGTCTTCATGGGTGGCAACGCATCTACATTTTGATTCTTAATCGAGGTTAAATATAGATGTCTATGGGCCACAGCATCCACTTACAATCAGGTGGACTGTGTGCACGTTTGTCATCCTTATTTTTTTTAAAAGCAAAATAAAAGCCAAAAATGTGTTGAATACACGCCCGAGCACACGAGTCCACACGAGGGTTTAGATTGTAAATATTTATACAGTCCGCTAAATACAAACCGATTCCGCCGTAACTTGTCTTTTATTACTGACCTACAAATGACACCCAATCAATCATACGGACAAAAGCAAAACTTTCACGTTAATTAATTTATTCTGTTTCCTTATTAATTGCCAACATACGGGCGCCAGTCAATCTTCCACCGCTGTCAACGGATCCATTAACGAACAAAGCAGTATTGTTCTATTAGTTTTAATTTGCCCTTTAGTTTTACGGGTTGGAAGCAATAAATATTTTTGAGTGATTAAAAACAGTTTACTGTTAGGACAATGCGGGTGGGCTTGTTCTTTGAAATATGTACCTATTTTTTTTATAGAATAGGGGTGGCACACGACTACATAGTCCTCGACGACAGACAGACAGAGGACATCTATGCTAAATTAAAATTAAAAAAAAATTAAAAATGGAGATGTGTTGTTACTGAGGAATAAGATGGAATGCCTCGTTTTCAGTGTAATGGTTCTCCAGTTCTCTATATTCACTATAAGAAACACAGCAGCATTGTTCAGTTTTTTCACGCTGGTATTCTATGCCAACCGGACCGCGATCAGATTATGATATGCTATATATAGAATAAGAAACCCTCTCAGAAATGAGGGGAGGCCTGTGCCCAGCAGTGGGACGTATATGGGCTGTAACTTTACTTTACTTTACTTTTATATATAGAATGAAAAACAAAATGTTTAAAAATTCGTAAAATGTGGTTTTGAATTGTATGTGATTGGTTTGATGTAAAAGCATAAAAGCTCTTTGACATTGAAACGGCTAATTATTTCTTTACATAAAAACAAACAACCTTAACATTAAAGTAAAATATTTTATCTGTGCTTGACACCTGTCACGTACCACAAATAAAATATTTAAAACGACGTAGAAGCACAGACAAAACGCAGTAAACGAATACTGCACTATATGATTTATTACTAGATGCTCTGGGTGACAACAGTGGAATGAACTTTCACACAAAATGCACGTAAATCCGGGCCGAAGAGATAAGGCAGCATGGAAATTATTTGACCGCGTCGGAATTTCATTTCATAGGATGGCAGTGCTGACTTGCACGGGTGAATTTCACAGATGTCTGATATCCACTCCGCACAATCTTCAGGGGGTTGAGACAGGGATCTATATATTCTATAGCAAGAAGAGACAAATATCGATTATTAATACGGATATTTATCATTGTCGTCAGTCATGAACTGACGTCTCGGTAACGCAAGTTAAGTTTCGTTGCGGCACTAAGAGCCGCAGTTTCAATTCCTTAAAATATTTACTTATTATTTATACTCATACTTACTACTTATAGCTTATTTTCTTGAAACCTGTATTTTAATTAATTTATTAAGTATAAATTAACTAATAATACAGGTTTCAAAAAAATAAGCTAATTGATGAGATTGATTATAAATAAGTTTTATAATCAATCAATTTTTTAACTTTTAGTTTTGGAAATTATTTTCTGGACTTATGTCGTAACCATGAACCTTAATGTTTATTTATTTCTTTCTATATTAAAAAATAAAATATAAAATACATTTAATGAAAATATTTTTATGGATTTTAGCACTCATGATGACTGTGACACCTCAGGTCTCCGTGTCGTAAAAATTAGTTTCATTCACCGTGACAAATAGTGCTATATCCGCGTTACGGCTCGTGGTCTGTACTCTGTATACAGCTTTAGACGCTAGGATAGAACCTGGAACCGACGGCTCTCCTTTGACTCGTTTAATATACTCTCTTCTTTGTATGAATTTAATTGAACCCGGCATTTGTAAGGCGGGATTGTATTTGATCCAATTACAACGGCAATCCAAATTTTACACAGTGATTACGTATCTACTCGAATTAGTTAAGAATATAGACAGAATAATCTCTTTAAATTTTAAAGATTTCCAAATTTACGCGTATTTAATATTTATTATTTACTTGTGGTCGCCTACTGTTTGAAATTCCACCGTAATTAATTATAGATATTCACCGTAATTATTTATATTGTATATCTATTAAGCTATAATTTATTAATTATTAGCTATAAATAATTTATTAAGCTGTAATTCACTATTAACTACACATTCAAACACAGATATATGTTATATACAAAAAATAAAATAAACGCTTTTTGCTTTGACATATATGCTTTCACATATTATTTGAATAAGGAACACAGGACACAAAATTAAGAAGCATCATTTTTAAAATTCCTTGGTGACAATCTATTCAGCGCGACTGTTTCACCACAGACTGTTATGTGATCTTCAACTGCTACTTATTCTTTCGTTATCTTGAACTGTTACGTGTTATACATCTTCTTGATAACAAGTCAAATAATTAAAAATTGCGTATGACAAATTGCTACCAAGTGTGCGGCAAATATCCCCCCTAAGAATCAATCTTGAGGGAGTCCTATGTTCAGCCGTTGATTTTTAATAAGTTGTAAGGATAACAGTAACACATACATACTACAAGGAAAAACACACTATCAACCGGTTGGACATAAGCCCACGAAAATTTGCAATTCATCAAATATTGATGTGTGTGCAAAACTTCGCCGCGCTGCTCCAGAGTGTGAACTTCGAACGAAGTTCCCATGTCCTCTTATTTAAGCCCACAAATAAAGATAGAACACTTCGTACATTTTAAGTAACGCCGAAACCATGTTCAACTTCTGACACGTACTTATTCATACATATTTCCCTTTTTCTTTCTTTATCAGGCCCTAAAAGTCTACTGCCTATATTAGAAATATTCTGTTTATTTTTATTTGTTGGTCGTAAATTGCAATTTTCGTTAGTGTGCAATTTGAAGATATACCACGTGGTAGAGCCACGCTGCAGCTATATTATGGTTGTAGCACGAATGGGTGGGCTCGTACGCTCCCACAGAATACCAGCGTAAAATAGTAACTTAATGCTGCTGTGTTTCGTATGGTGAGTGTAGAGAACCGGAGACCCTTTTCATTGGAAACGAGGCATTCCATCTTAGACCTCAACAGTGACAACGCACCTAAATTTTGATTCTTAGTCGATGATAAATACAGATGGGCTACTGTATCCACTTACCATCGGACGTGTTCGTGTGTATCTTCTTAGTTCAATATAAGTGCGGATTTTACGGATTCTTCTGTTTCTCCTCAAGACAAGAGAAAACCTGAGCTTAAGAGTTGGGAACTTTAGAAATTTTAAAATAAATTTACAAATATCAGGCATATATTTTTCCTAGTAGTAATTCCTAGTAATTGCCATAGTTCATTGCCCAATAAATACCTAATTTCGAAGCAAAATGAATCTTATACTAACAAAATGTAACCTGCAATGATTTAAAGCCGTTATATTGAAAATTTCATTGCATTTTGCGGTTGCATTCGGCAATAAATCTGAGAGTATGACACGTCATATCTGCAGGAAAAGAACGGAAAGCCGAGACCAGATGAGAAGAATTGTGCGGAAATCCTGACGTCTGTGGGTCTGTTTGGAAATTTTCCAAGAGTACAAAATAGCGAGAAACTAATTGGAGTTGCAATATTAACCCAAATTTTAACAGAGCAAACAATTGAGCTTCAACTAATACACGTATATTTCATGAAATTATCATGATTTAATTTTCGACTGTAATGACAATTTTCAAATAATTAGAAATAAAAATTTAAAAATATAGTCGCTTATGTGTTCCAAGAGGAGACTACGGGAAATGTTAGAAAGGTCTTAGAGAAGGCGATATAACCATCGCATTTTTTATACGATAGGGTGACAAACGAGCACACAGTCCACCTGATAGTAAGTGGTTGCTGTGGCCCATAAACATCTACATCTATCCTCGATTACAAATCAAGAGGTGAGGACTGAGATGGAATGCCTCGTTTCAAGTACAAAGGGTCTCCGGTTCTCTATACTCACCACACGAAACGCAGCAGCATTAAGCTACTATTTTACGGAGGTATTCTGTGAGAGCGTGGTCCTTCTCCGGTCGAGCCGATCCATTTGTGCTACAACTATACTACTAATATAACTGCAGTATGGCTCTATCACGTGTACCAGGTAGATGTTAAAACGTAGTCCTGCGACGAGGATTAAAGTCAAAGGTACGATACGAGCAAAGTCAAAGGCTGCGATCGTCAAGTGGATTGTTACGGGATGGTGTAGGACTTATTTTTAAGAAATAGAAGTGAAAAACGACATTACTGTCCACCTGATGGGCTACTGCAGACTATGACACCTGTGGATAACTTTAAACAAAGATGGTTATAGGTGCGTTGTCACCTCTAACGAATTAGACGAGAAATGATAAACCTGCAATTACACTCTTTTACCTCTTAGATCAGAAGACATCAGTGCACGCACTGCTGTTTGGAGATTGAAACAAGAATGATGTTGCTACCTACCCAGATGGATTTCTGGGCAGAAAAAGTCCACTACCTTCCATGTTTTTCATTCATTAAATGCAGCCTATCAAAAGTCTGGCAAAGACCTTCCCATATATTGCGTCATTTAGGGAATATTTGCCACAGTTACTTCGCTGGGCAGGTTGGCAACGTAGGAAGATAGCAGCATCTTCCTAGCATATCTCCCTGTTTTATTTCCCTTTGTCGTCTCTTACCCAACCACTGGATTGCACGGGTTGATTTTCTTACAGCAGCTCTCGACGGCGAATAATAATTTACTATATTATGTCTTGAATCCAGAAAATGTATATGAATAGAAATACATGGTAATAAAGGCAAATGTTTATTCTCTCTCTCCTTAAGAAGCTTCAAGTTGTAGTAAATATTTTTTTGATTTCATTCAAGATAAGGCTGTGTAAGTGTATAATAAAGTCCTGATACAAAAGTTGAGATACCAACTCCTTTATTAGGGATTTGTTATATACGCAAATACTATACATATATTGTAACAATTTTTTTGGATTTTATCGCGTTTAATTACAATAATTTAACTTTTTAATTTTAGACGTTTCGAGTGCTTTGCAGCACTCATGTTAGCCCCGGGGTATTAAGGTGTTTGATGTCCTGATGTCATAGTTAACGCGGGCTACTACATTCAGCTTTGAATTATTTGTTTTTGGTTCAATCTACGCAGAATGAGCTTATAGTGTCTTGAAGTCTTGCATTGGTAGGTATGCTAAGGTTAAGATTTAATTTTATTAATTTTTGAATCTCAAACAGATGCTGGCACCCAGCTGTCTTCTGTATTAAAATTAGTATGCTTTGTTAATTTCAATAGCTAACACATCATTCTGTTCAATACTATCAAATAATTATAGAGGGTAGGATAAAATATTATACGTGTTAGAACCACGTTACAGCTATATTACAGGAATGGGTCAGCTCCAACGGGGAAGGACGACGCTCACACAGAATAGCATCTTAATGCAGCTGCTCTAGTATGCAGAGTGTAGATAACTGAAGATCTTTTTTACTGGAAAAAAGGCATTCCATCTTAGTCCTCAGGTGTGACAACTCATCTGCATTTTGATTCTTAATCGTGGGTACATGTAGATGTCTGTGGACCACAATATACATTTACCATCAGGTGGACTGTGTGCTCGTTTGTCACCTTATAGTATGAAAAAAAGACACACTAAAATTACTGAACCGTTGGGGCCCACACACGGCGGTTAATGTTATCTTCGCGACCGCTTTCGCGTGACTTCCGCGTGTGTAACCGCCTAATCTACTCAAGTGTTATCTGACATCAACCGGTTATTATTACCCGTTAGCTTTCAGTACATATAAAATTTCCGTGTTTACTTTTGTTAACTTCACATACACACTAATGTACATAAAGTTACAGCCTATATACGTCCCACTGCTGGGCACAGGCCTACTCTCAACTCTGAGAGGGTTTTAGGACAATGAAGTGTCCGCAGCGCTGCCCGAATGCGAATGTGTTGGCGATCTTCACATGTCATGATAAAATACTTTTCTTCTTATTTCTCAGACATGCAGGTTTCCTCACGATATTTTCCTTCACCGCCGAGCGCGTGGTAAATGTATGTGAGTAATGTATATAGGCGGAATTAATGCATTTGTCCACTCAGAGTAGGGCAGAGATAAAAAAGTAGTTCTTAAAAGAAGTACTAAAAGTAATATATGCAGATTAACTGAATAAAGGGCAGATATTTGCTACTTTAAGTAAAATTTCGCACATCAACGGATCGCACCAGATAATTTGCAGATTAATGCATTCCGCATTCTAACGATAATACGTGGCGGAGCCATGTTGTAGCTATGTTATTATATTATTGTTAATTTCTTTAATATGCCTTTACTTGCAAATGTTTACTACCTTTTCTTTCAGCCCCGTATTAGTGCTAAATCAGTACTTAAAATTACAGTGAATAGTTAAATTAGTGCATGCGGGGATTGAAATGGCGTTACTTGAATACTATGTCACGGCTCTGTGCGTGAACATAATAATGGCGCAGTCTTCTATTACTTTGTCATCTACAAATGTAAATAAAATTTAAGTGACTGTCTGTAACATCAAAATAACTGCCTTATATTGAGAGAAGGAGTTAATTGCATGCCAATAAGACATGCGTTTTGATTCTTAATCGAAGACAAATGTAGATGTCTACGGGCCACAGCATCCACTTACCGTCAGGTGGACTGTGTGCTAGTTTGTCACCATTATTCTATAAAAAAAATGAACAACCATGGTAAAATTATTGTTTATCAGTCTGTCCGGGTTAATCCGGGACTGAACGGATTGTAATGAAACTTCCCGAACGAATACAGAGTAATATCAGGATTATTACATATAGGGGGAATATATCATTAAAAGATAGTTTTTATAAATATATAGTTCTAAATCTAAATAACAGCACACCAAAGGCGAAGCCAAGGCGGTTCGCTAGTTTCTCAACTAAATTCGTATTATTAGTCCATCAATTATTTACGTAAAGCTATAAAAGGCCAATGCATTACATTTGGAAGGCGCCTACGATTTATTCTTCCCTCAAAAGGTTTTATAGGGCAATAAAATCGAAATCTACCGACAGATCTGTCGGGCACGCGACACTTCCGGCAGTAAAATGTTTCGCGGAAATGCTCTTTTCCAAAAAAAAAAGTATACAAACAAAACTTTAATCCGATTTATGCGTATAGGTTTGCTAGTATAGATAAGAATCTCAGAATCCTCCAGAAATCCTCTAGATCGAATTTCGGTCACGACGCCCAGCCTCAACGGAGACTAGCCATCTGCGCTGGATAGGTTTAGGTATAGTGCGCAAGTGTGTACGCACATAGGTGTACTCTCTATTTCCTCACTCTCATACTCCAATGGGACGGTAATCCGACACGATCAGAGATAGATCAACAGGACTAACGGTTTTACGCGCTTTGCGAGGCACGGTGAGCACCGGCGACTTCCTGACTTAGGGTTACTATTGAGAATGTCAGATGATCTGCAATTGGGTTTACGGCCACTACATCGACAAGGCAGTCGGTATCTAGGATCACAAACGTATTAGACGACTATGTAGCGTAGCGGCTAAACGTTAGCCGACACTGAGGCCCGCGGGTTGAAATTCGTCACAGAACTTCCATTTCTTTGGCTTACAAATTATGTTATCAGTTGAAATGTACAATCATAAGCAATTTGTAAATAAAAGTAATAAATGATTAAATAATGTGCTTGCTGATGGATAAGAAAGGTTCTTAAATGGCCGCCCACTTTTATGAGTGAGTTTGCGAGAGTGAAAACACATACATAAATAGTTTTATCATCTTATTTCCTTAACGTAAAAGCTTGTTTTTTTACATCTTCAAAGGACTGTAGAGTTCAAAGAACTGAAGACATAATAGTTTGAACTTGATACTTTTCGCCGTTCCTGAGAAAAAGGGACAAATGGACGGACGAACGGAGAACCAAGTGATACTAAAAGGTTTTCTTTTTTCTGATAGTTGAATTTTCAAATAAACCGAAACCATCAGCTCTGCGACAACCAACTCGAATGGCCGAAGTAGTGAGTATAATTCTGGGCTCAGTCATGTCAAACATTCGACCCGTTAATCATTATCATGCATCCGGGACCAGATCTTAAAGATTTTAATGATGCCATACTTTAAGTGAACAGTCTAGTATACATATTTTTATTTATTCGTTCATCGTTCTATTGGAATCCACTGCTGGTCATAGGCCTCCTCAATAGATTGCCTCATAGTTGCCACGCTTGACAAGAGGGCTGGCAACCGAAGTTTTTTTATTACTTGAGCACTTAACTAGAAGATGTTGCTGTTCATCTCCTGTTTTAAAATATTTTTTTATATAATAAGCGTGACAAACGAGTAGTCAGTCCACCTGATGGTAAGCAGATGTTGTGGCCCACATCAGACATCCACATTTATCCTCGACCAAGAATCAAAATGCAGATGCGTTATTACGCTTATAGACTGAGATGAAATGCCTCCTTTCCAGTAAAAAAGGTCTCCTCTTCTCTACCCTTGCCATGCGAAATACAGCAGCATTCGAATAATTAAGGATGACTTGGCGTGACGACAAAAAACTAAGCAATCAAATAGACATTTCAAGCCCAAACTGGTAGCGATTTGGCCGATCACTTATCGGCAGGCGCATCACGTAGCCTCTTTATTAGGGGCCCGTCCTATGAACAACGGTTTAGTATGCATTGAATCATCCGGAGTGGAATTGTTTACGAGACACATGATTATTGGTCCTAAAGTATCCTTCATTTGATTGTAGTGTAATTGTGTGCGATATGATCGTTGTTTTCTTCAAAAAAATACTCTCACAATGCCTAACAAGTAATTACAATATATCACCAAAATTAATGAAGTAGCTATTCAAATCCACTGCAACACTGCCCACCACGATGCTACAAACCAACTGCAACACTGCCCACCACGATGCTACAAACCAACTGCAACACTGCCCACCACAATGCTACAAACCAAACAAACCAACTGCAACACTGCCCACCACAATGCTACAAACCAAACAAACCAACTGCAACACTGCCCACCACAATGCTACAAACCCACTGCAACACTGCCCACCACGATGCTACAAACCAACTGCAACACTGCCCACCACGATGCTACAAACCAACTGCAACATTTCCCACCACGATGCTACAAACCAACTGCAACACTGCCCACCACAATGCTACAAACCAAACAAACCAACTGCAACACTGCCCACCACAATGCTACAAACCAAACAAACCAACTGCAACACTGCCCACCACGATGCTACAAACCCACTGCAACACTGCCCACCACGATGCTACAAACCAACTGCAACACTGCCCACCACGATGCTACAAACCAACTGCAACACTGCCCACCACGATGCTACAAACCCACTGCAACACTGCCCACCACAATGCTACAAACCAAACAAACCAACTGCAACACTGCCCACCACGATGCTACAAACCAACTGCAACACTGCCCACCACGATGCTACAAACCAACTGCAACATTTCCCACCACGATGCTACAAACCAACTGCAACACTGCCCACCACAATGCTACAAACCAAACAAACCAACTGCAACACTGCCCACCACAATGCTACAAACCAAACAAACCAACTGCAACACTGCCCACCACGATGCTACAAACCCACTGCAACACTGCCCACCACGATGCTACAAACCAACTGCAACACTGCCCACCACGATGCTACAATCCCACTGCAACACTGCCCACCACGATGCTACAAATCAACTGCAACATTTCCCACCACGATGCTACAAACCAACTGCAACACTGCCCACCACAATGCTACAAACCAAACAAACCAACTGCAACACTGCCCACCACAATGCTACAAACCAAACAAACCAACTGCAACACTGCCCACCACAATGCTACAAACCAACTGCAACACTGCCCACCACAATGCTACAAACCAACTGCAACACTGCCCACCACAATGCTACAAACCAAACAAACCAACTGCAACACTGCCCACCACAATGCTACAAACCAAACAAACCAACTGCAACACTGCCCACCACGATGCTACAAACCAACTGCAACACTGCCCACCACGATGCTACAAACCAACTGCAACATTTCCCACCACGATGCTACAAACCAACTGCAACACTGCCCACCACAATGCTACAAACCAAACAAACCAACTGCAACACTGCCCACCACAATGCTACAAACCAACTGCAACATTTCCCACCACGATGCTACAAACCAACTGCAACACTGCCCACCACAATGCTACAAACCAAACAAACCAACTGCAACACTGCCCACCACAATGCTACAAACCAAACAAACCAACTGCAACACTGCCCACCACGATGCTACAAACCCACTGCAACACTGCCCACCACGATGCTACAAACTAACTGCAACACTGCCCACCACGATGCTACAAACCAACTGCAACACTGCCCACCACGATGCTACAAACCCACTGCAACACTGCCCACCACAATGCTACAAACCAAACAAACCAACTGCAACACTGCCCACCACGATGCTACAAACCAACTGCAACACTGCCCACCACGATGCTACAAACCAACTGCAACATTTCCCACCACGATGCTACAAACCAACTGCAACACTGCCCACCACAATGCTACAAACCAAACAAACCAACTGCAACACTGCCCACCACAATGCTACAAACCAAACAAACCAACTGCAACACTGCCCACCACGATGCTACAAACCCACTGCAACACTGCCCACCACGATGCTACAAACCAACTGCAACACTGCCCACCACGATGCTACAAACCAACTCAACATTTCCCACCACGATGCTACAAACCAACTGCAACACTGCCCACCACAATGCTACAAACCAAACAAACCAACTGCAACACTGCCCACCACAATGCTACAAACCAAACAAACCAACTGCAACACTGCCCACCACGATGCTACAAACCCACTGCAACACTGCCCACCACGATGCTACAAACCAACTGCAACACTGCCCACCACGATGCTACAAACCAACTGCAACACTGCCCACCACGATGCTACAAACCAACTGCAACACTGCCCACCACGATGCTACAAACCCACTGCAACACTGCCCACCACAATGCTACAAACCAAACAAACCAACTGCAACACTGCCCACCACGATGCTACAAACCCACTGCAACACTGCCCACCACGATGCTACAAACCAACTGCAACACTGCCCACCACGATGCTACAAACCAACTGCAACACTGCCCACCACGATGCTACAAACCAACTGCAACACTGCCCACCACGATGCTACAAACCAACTGCAACACTGCCCACCACGATGCTACAAACCAACTGCAACACTGCCCACCACAATGCTACAAACCAAACAAACCAACTGCAACACTGCCCACCACAATGCTACAAACCAAACAAACCAACTGCAACACTGCCCACCACGATGCTACAAACCCACTGCAACACTGCCCACCACGATGCTACAAACCAACTGCAACACTGCCCACCACGATGCTACAAACCAACTGCAACACTGCCCACCACGATGCTACAAACCCACTGCAACACTGCCCACCACAATGCTACAAACCAAACAAACCAACTGCAACACTGCCCACCACGATGCTACCAACAAACCAACTGCAACACTGCCCACCACGATGCTACAAACCCACTGCAACACTGCCCACCACAATGCTACAAACCAAACAAACCAACTGCAACACTGCCCACCACGATGCTACAAACCCACTGCAACACTGCCCACCACGATGCTACAAACCAACTGCAACACTGCCCACCACGATGCTACAAACCAACTGCAACACTGCCCACCACGATGCTACAAACCAACTGCAACACTGCCCACCACGATGCTACAAACCAACTGCAACACTGCCCACCACGATGCTACAAACCAACTGCAACACTGCCCACCACAATGCTACAAACCAAACAAACCAACTGCAACACTGCCCACCACAATGCTACAAACCAAACAAACCAACTGCAACACTGCCCACCACGATGCTACAAACCCACTGCAACACTGCCCACCACGATGCTACAAACCCACTGCAACACTGCCCACCACGATGCTACAAACCAACTGCAACACTGCCCACCACGATGCTACCAACAAACCAACTGCAACACTGCCCACCACGATGCTACAAACCAACTGCAACACCCCACCACGATGCTACAAACCAACTGCAACACTGCCCACCACGATGCTACAAACCCACTGCAACACTGCCCACCACAATGCTACAAACCAAACAAACCAACTGCAACACTGCCCACCACGATGCTACAAACCCACTGCAACACTGCCCACCACGATGCTACAAACCCACTGCAACACTGCCCACCACGATGCTACAAACCCACTGCAACACTGCCCACCACGATGCTACAAACCCACTGCAACACTGCCCACCACGATGCTACAAACCCACTGCAACACTGCCCACCACGATGCTACAAACCAACTGCAACACTGCCCACCACAATGCTACAAACCAAACAAACCACTGCAACACTGCCCACCACAATGCTACAAACCAAACAAACCAACTGCAACACTGCCCACCACAATGCTACAAACCCAACCACTGCAACACTGCCCACCACAATGCTACAAACCAAACAAACCAACTGCAACACTGCCCACCACGATGCTACAAACCAACTGCAACACTGCCCACCACAATGCTACAAACCAACACCACTGCAACACTGCCCACCACGATGCTACAAACCCTCTGCAACACTGCCCACCACGATGCTACAAACCCACTGCAACACTGCCCACCACGATACTACAAACTCACCGCAACACTGCCCACCACGATGCTACACAGGGCAGCTTCTCTGCAACATCGCGTTTTATGCACGACGGCAGCATCATCCCGATTAGTACTCAAAAATTAATGAAGTAGCTATTCAAACCCACTGCAACACTGCCCACCACGATGCTACACAGGGCAGCTTCTCTGCAATATCACGTTTTATGCACGACGGCAGCATCATCCCGATTAGTACTCAAAAATTAATGAAGTAGCTATTCAAACCCACTGCAACACTGCCCACCACGATGCTACACAGGGCAGCTTCTCTGCAATATCACGTTTTATGCACGACGGCAGCATCATCCCGATTAGTACTCAAAAATTAATGAAGTAGTTATTCAAACCCACTGCAACACTGCCCACCACGATGCTACACAGGGCAGCTTCTCTACAATATCACGTTTTATGCACGACGGCAGCATCATCCCGATTAGTACTCAAAAAAAAACCGCGTTTGTAAACCCTAAACGTAAGTTTTTATCGGTATTTTACTTAGATTATTCTAGGGTCTTTTGTTGTCTCTCTAACATAGGATAAACAAAAGACCAATATCATACTGCGTAGATCGGGTCAAGAATTGATAAATTTATTCTGAAGGTAGCTGTGGTTAACTATGACATTGGGACGTCGAACACCTTAGCCCCCGTGACAGTGGATGCTGTAAAGTGCTTGAAACGTCAAAAATATAAAATAAGTTAATATACGCGATACAATTCCTAAAAACCAGTTATTTTATTAAAACTAGTTTTATTTGAACTTCCTTTAAAACGGTTGTATATTATGCACCCTGTGCTTAATATAGATAAACTGATCGTAACGCATAACAAATCGATTCTTGAAAAAGGGCTGGGCCTTAGTAAATTAAAACGAAAGACTTATAGTGGAGCTGTATAGGCGTGCTGGAGACATCGGGGTTAATGGCATTTTTACTGCTTTTAGGGGGTTGATTCTTTCTGTTTAAGACACACAGGATTAATGGTTACGAGAGGGAAGATGGCGAAACTAAGTGAGTTGTACTTAATGATTTCTTATATTTACGCGAACACTACACATTGATTATAACTACTTTTACGGATTTTATTGCGTTTCATTTTACTTATTTTTAATGCCAGCAATCCTGTGATATGACAGTCCCTCCGTAACAATGAGTGCTGCAAAACAAAATAAATATTACACGCTATTAAATCCGTAAAAGCAGTTTAATACAATAAGTTGTACTTTTTAAGAAATATACTGTGTGTCCGGTTACCGGTGTCGGAGCTTTTAATGCTATAAAATATAATCAATTTCATCGACAAATCATGTCTCAAATCTCATTTAGACCTAGCTGTATTTAAATGGCAGCCATTTAAGTTTTTTAGTGTCACCACTTCGACCCCGCGCATTAAAATTACAATATTCACCGATGAAGAAGTCCTACATTCTTAAAAGATGTCTCATTGGATAGATAAAGATACGTGTAATAAAATAAAAGCAAACTTTTAACTGCAAAATGTATTTAGATCCTAAAAAGACTGCAAAATGTAAAAAAATTCGGTTATTTTTTCACATTTTCGACTTTAATGAAAAAAGTAAGTCATTTACCTAATGATTTTTTACAATCAGATAGATCAGAACATATCCTAACCAAAAACATAAAAATCCTAATTGTAACTAAAAAAAATCAGTATTAACTGTTTGAATATGACCTTTGTCACCCTGGTTGCAGACAGACAAAGTGAATTGATGAGAAGAGTGAATTCAATTCATTTCCAACTTCGATTATTTTATTAATCAACTCTTCTCGTGAGTTTGGCACGTTCGTATAAACTCTTTGCTTCATAGTGCCCCATAGAAAAAAGTCTAAGGGAGTTAAATCCGTAGAACGCGGAGGCCAAGTGATCCTTCCACCGCGACCAATCCACGGCGAATAGCGCTCATTTAAATAATTTCGCACATTTACTGCAAAATGTACTAATAACTGTGATCACGTCATTATTGAGATTTCTAGTTTCATTCATTATTGTTTTCTTTAATAATAAGAAACACTTATTTACTTTTAACTGATTTTACTAATCACAACTAATAGTTACTCACAATCAACAATTACACGCTATTGTTCACAATTAACGATTTAATAATTATTCACTACTGTTCACAATTTATAGTTCGCGAATTCAATTTACAGTTCGAACAGCACGACAGCTTGAGCAAGAATGAATCCTGCCCCATTTTTTTTTTGCGCCCGAAGCAAATATGGGCAACCCTCCGGAAAGCGGGGGAGGGAGGCGGTGAATGCTCATAGCATACCACGCAGCCCGCTGCGTGGTTATGTGGAGACTTTTACCCACTAAACACCGCCTTTTAGGAATTGGCTTAACGATCTGACTAGAGATCTCTAAGCCGTATACGAACACGACCCTCCTTGGCAGAAAGGAGGGCGCAGCAGAAAGGAGGGCGCAGCCTGCCCCAGCCGTCGCGCGCCTTTTAAACCGAATGCGAGTGTGCGCAAGCCATCCCCACTTCCTGCGCTTTGAGAATGATTACCTTCAAATTGTTATAGCGACAACCCGCATTTAATTATGTTGTGATTTAAAGTATTTTAAATTATTTATCTGGTAACAATAATCAACTAATTGTAAAAATAAAGACACATGTTATAAAAATCAGCTTATAACGTTATTTCAGAAGTTGAAATAACGTCTATTGATTTTTAACTGAATAATAATTGTTTAAGTAATGCGCCGATACGTCGCTTATACTTTGTTGCGCCGATACGGCCATTCTGATTGGTGGTGCGTGCTCAGCACCTACCAAAATTTGTATGTTATTTGTGTTTCGACCATACATCACGTCTACACACATAATTCTCGTCGTCACGTAGAATGGAAATGGAGTGATGCTGTGTTCTGGGCGGTCCCGTTCGCCGTGGTACACAGGGGCTCTATAGGAATTAGGATAAGGTCGATGCTGTGTTATACACAGTGGCTCTAAAATAGAAAATAGAATTTTTAAATTTATTATTTTTATTCTTACTGCTTTACTGCTGTTTGTTTATTATTTGTGTTTTGACCATACATAACGTCTACACACATAATTCTCGTCGCCTCGTACAATGGGAATGGAGTGATGCTGTGTTCTGAGCGGTCCTGTTCACCGTGGTACACAGGGGCTCTATAGGAACTAGGATAAGGTCGATGCTGTGTTATACACAGTGGCTCTAAAATAGAAAGTTGAAAATTATTTTACAAGCGTTAAAAGTTTTGTTCTTGAGTTAGGTTCTACTGTTATGATTCTTAAGAAGTGGATGGGCGGGGCTCACTTGTTGCACTAATATTACAAGAGTATGGCTCTCTTTCCGCCGATATGGCCCTCTGGTTTCCTGGCTGCGGGGCACGACGTAGTTGATCGTGGGCGACTTTTCGAGGCCGTTCTCTGCCAATTACCTTTTTTTACCAAATAACGGTCGTTTTCAAGTACTCTACATATCTCATAGGGTTCACTAAATTTGAGATCTAACGAGGTTTGATTGCGTGGATTGTTTTTGATAAGTACGTATTCTCCTTTCTGAAAATGAATAAAATGTGTGGCGTTACCATCACAGTCTAGTTTTTCAAATATTGGATTATTTGTGGTGGTATGATTGACAAACACTTGGTGTACTAATTTTGTTTCGCTAGACGTGACTATAACACTCAAATTTGTGCCTTGAATCAAGTTCATGCCCACCAAAATGTCTGTCGACATCTCGCAGTCAGGCAGAACATAAAATTGAATTTCAACGCCGATATTATCTATGACACATATAGTCAGTAAGCTCGTGAGTGACAGTACGGGAAATCGTCCAATACCTCTCAAGTAGTTAGCTGTTCGAACTCTTTGTCCAGGCAGAGCTGCGGCTACAGATTCCCGTATAACTGAACATTCTGCACCACTGTCGAACACTGCCCTTAAAGATTTAATTCCTATCCTGATAGTTAAAGGGGCTAGTTTTGCACCTTCAATTTGATGTCAAAGAACGATCACGTTTAAAGCACTGGTCGTAAGTATGTCCTAATTTTTGACAAAATGTGCAGGTAGACTTACTATCATTTTCACTTCTTTTACTAAATTGTTCCCGACTCGATGCTGTTGGTTTGAAACGACATTCATCGGCAGAATGATTTTTCCTTTTACAGATGCGACAGAATGATGGAGCGTAAGCATGATTATTGCTTGATAACCGGGGACGTTTGTGTGGCATTGTCATGCTACTATTTGATGGATGAACGCGCTTTAATCGTATTGACGATGCAATAGATATAAGTTCTGGCACTGTTGTTGCGCGCGCGTTTAATAGTTCAATCCGTAGATGTTCATCATTAATGCAACCTATGATGGCCTCAACCGCATCTTCATTACCTAATTTATCCTTGGTAACTCGTCTCCATAGTACCCACGCTCTCAATAAGAATTCCGCTATATCCTTTGATGAATCAAAAACATGTTCCCTGAATCTTAATATGTCTCGAGAATACCGTATACCGTAATATAATAAGTATCGTATACCGTAATATAATAAGGAGATGTAGTTATCATCCAATCATCGACCCACATTTTAGCGCGTCCTTTCATGCGTATATCAAAATCATTGAGGTTGTACGTTTGAATTGCTTTATTAATATATTGACACCACTCACGTACTCCAACGTTAGTATCTGGATCAAATGAAGGTAGGTAAATATCATTGATTCTTACCTTTGTTTCCGATGGAGTATTCAGTCTATCCGACATATTTTGAATCATATGCATCATCTGCATAAAAATGTGACGGTACATTAATCGTTGAAGTGTTATCACTCCGATTCTGTTGCATTGTTTCAGTGTTAGATGACATCGATGGTTGTTCAATAGCAGATGGTTGAGCAGAAGTGGAAGAGCGTTGTTCACATCCCACTTCTGATGACGGAATATTTGCACCAGAATTATTTTTTAAAACTATGACGTCATCATTGATGAAGTCATTATTGAGATTTCTAGTTTCACTCATTATTGTTTTCTTATAATAAGAATCACTTATTTACTTTTAACTGATTTTACTAATCACAAC